GTAATTACACAAATTAAATTTTCTATAGTTTTTATATAATTACTTATATAAATTATTCAATAAAGATATGAGCAAGACCTTACCTTAAAAACAAAAAAAAAAAACAAAAAAACAATCCAATACTAATAATATGATAATAATATAATAGTCAAATCTATTTCCTAACACGTTATCCCGTGTTACAACTCACTTTGTAACAATATTAAGAGTTGATAATTGATTAAATCGAACAATCTCAACATCTTCTTGAATATGATTTTGTTGTGCTACATCAAGCTGCTCGGATTACGAGAATATTTGTCTAAAAATTTTAATCAAATGAAATGGCTTAAAAATAAATTACCAATTCTTGCTAATATTGCAAATGGTCTTAAAACTATTCATAAGGAAGGTTTAACTTATCGTGATCTTCATTGTGGAAATATTTTAATTAATAGTAATATATCTTATATTTCCGACTTTGGACATCCCGATTGTCTTGAAGATTCTACTAAACATAGGCTATTTGGTGTAACACCATTTATTGCTCCAGAAATTTTTATAAGCAAATCATTTAATACTAAGTCAGATATATAGTTTTGGAATTATTATGTGGATGTTTACTTCTGGAATTTTACCATTTTATAATCGTAAATATGATGGGATACTTGGCACTAGATATATATAATGGAGCCCGACCTCAAATAATAAACGGAACACCATCCTGCTTTGTAAATCTAATGCAGAATTCTGAACCCGAAAAAAGACCCACTTCATCTGAAATTTACGATATAATTTGTTCATGGTATTATTTAAAAAAATTATAAAGAATTTAAAGCTTCTGATAACATTTTACTATATCAAAGTAAACAAGATATTGAAAATCAAATTGTACAAAATGCTTCTAATTATTTAAGTAGACAATATCATAGCCGTAGCATTGACTTAAGGTTAATATCAACTGTTAGTCAATTTCAAGGTATCAAATTTACTATTATTCTTTTTTAAAAATATTATAATTTACATTATGTATTAATCTTGTTTGATTTAAAAAGTTACTTTTTTTTTTTTTTTTTTAGATTCTTTACAAAATTTTTCTATCCCTAGTAAATGATTTAATAGTCGATTAAATTCTTCGATATGTTATGGTTATTATTAGCTTCAAATTCTATGAGCAAAAATTTTCTCAAAAATCATATCGATATAGTAAATCAAAAAGTATTCATATCTCGTGATATACTAGACCGATTTTAATCATTATTATCGTCTCAATGAGCTTTACGACTTTAATTAGAGGTTTAATTGGTAAAACTTTTATATGTAAGACAACCACATTCCTGTACTATAGAAAATCCGATTTTTTTTATTATAAAATTTATCTTTTTTTTTACCGTTTAATCACCTCTTAAATATGCTACTATTAGCTATACAGCTATACAGTGTTAGCTATATATAAGTATCGAAATGCGATTTTAGTTTTCCATTTTCTTTCATAATACATTTGTATTAACTCA